AGCTTGACAAGTTTGTTTTGATTTTTATTAATCACACGTGGTGGCTTTTCACCTTTAATTTACCTTTGATTTGTCAACTTTATTGTTATTTCCCAACCAGATAAGGGACTGGGAAGTCCTTTGCACAAGATGTTTACCTTTTCTCGAAGACTTGCGAGTTTGGTCCCTGCTGGCTACAGTGTTGTTTCGTCAATGCAGCTTCACAGTCAGTGTCTGAAAAATGCTCCGACCTTTTCAAAGTCAGTTCTTCGTCGCGCCAAAGATGTGCAATCTTTTGGGTTTTTGCAACGTAATTATTGAATTTATATCGTATAGTACCTCACAATGACTGTTGTATCTTTTTAGAGCGAAGCATGTTTATTCAAGTTGAGGATACTCCCAATCCAAACAGTCTTAAATTTTTCCCCGGACAGAAGGTTTTGGAGAAGGGCACTATGGATTTTCCCAATCCAAAGTCTGCTTTGAAATGTTCTCCGCTTGCTGAAGCCATTTTTAAAATTGACGGCGTCAAATCAGTGTTTTTCGGCGCTGATTACATTACTGTCAGCAAAGCTGATGATGAAATCGACTGGAAAGTGCTCAAGCCCGAGATATTTGCATCCATTATGGACTTTTTCGGTACCGGCTTGCCAGTTCTCCGAGAGAACGCTCAAGAGAACATCAACAGTGATACAACTGGTAATTATATCAACATCTCGCTCAATTTCTTTTAAAAATGACTTTTATTGGTAGATACTAACGAGGAGAACGAAACCGTGGCCATGATCCTCGAGCTCATTGATACTCGCATTCGACCCACTGTTCAAGAAGATGGTGGTGATGTTAAATTTATGGTAACTTCAACTTACTTGTTTTGGTTTGTTTTATTGTTTTCTTACCTTCTTTTGCAAGGGATTTGAAAATGGAGTGGTTAAACTGAAGCTTCAGGGTGCTTGCACTTCATGTCCGTCATCAATTGTCACGTTGAAGAACGGCATTCAAAACATGCTCCAATTTTATATTCCTGAAGTAATGAAAGTTGAACAGGTACTTTTTAATTAAACCTATTTATATCTTTCAATATAGTTTCTTTACACATTATTCTAGGTCATGGACGAAGTTGACAAGCAAGCTCAGTCGGAATTTGAAAAGTTTGAAAAAAACTTGGATGACAAACCTAAATAAAACCGTCCGGCAATGGAATTACTCAGTTTGTCACATATACAATTTGTAATTTTACAACGTTAATATTTTAATACTTTTACCGATTTTCCAACTTTGAAAATGTATTTTTATCTTTTGATTTTGTTGCTCTAGTCTCAATTTGTAATGTTTCAAATATGCCAGGTGTCGCTACGTTTGGCAACGGTAAAAGTTTCCATTAATNCAAGCAAGCTCAGTCGGAATTTGAAAAGTTTGAAAAAAACTTGGATGACAAGCCTAAATAAAACCGTCCGGCAATTGAATTACTCAATTTGTCACATACATAATTTGTAATTTTACAATGTTAATATTTTATTACTTTTACCGATTTTCCAACTTTAAAAATGTATTTTTATCTTTTGATTTTGTTGCTCTAGTCTCAATTTGTAATGTTTCAAATATGCCAGGTGTCGCTACGTTTGGCAACGGTAAAAGTTTCCATTAATAAATGGGTAGCATTTTACTAAATAAGATCTTGCATAGAATCGATAACTTGCAAAAATTTGAGTGCAATAACACTGAATGATTTGTCGAGTTTATCGGGAGTTTGCATAGTCCCGAATTTAAAAATGATTTAACCAAGAGTCTATTTCGACCTATCTGTCTCATGATGAGACTCACTTTGTTTCAGTAGTGATTCGTGAAAGAAAACAAAACAGAAAAAATATTTCTTCATTCTTCATTTACTCCGGCTTTCTACAGTATTGAAAGAATGGAAGTTGAAGAGATTTCGAGTGGAGATCTTAAACTCCAACTGCAACGCTTGACTAGTGAGCTTGAAGACAAAAATTCAATAATACAACAGCTCAATGACGGTAATCAAGAAGAATTGCATCTATTTAAAATCATTAAGTAACATTTTTTATCCTTTCAGAAAACAATCTACTCAAACAATCAAAAAGTGATATTGCTGATCATTACATTGAAAAGCTTTTTCCGAACGTTGCCGGACTATGTCAGTTGTTCAACAGCAATGTTAGCGTCAACCAGCTGTACTCGATGTACATTCAGGAAAGAAGACTAAATGGGGATTTAAAGTTAAAAGTCGACAATTCAAAAGTTGAACAAACTGTCATCACCGAACGCCTTTCGCTGCTTAATAATGAACTGGATGCAGCTCGCGAAACTATTCAGCAGCTATCTTCTGAAATACTAGAGCTGAAAAAGTTAGAAGAAAAGGTTTTTCAAGTTGAAAATGACAACAAAGAGACGAATATTGCTCTGCGTTTTTACCAGGATTCAGCATTAAGCTTGTACAAAGGGCTAAAGGAATTTAAAGAGATTTTTCTTGCTCTTTCTGTGAAAATTCAGCATCTTGCACATCCATCGAGCGGTGAAAGTACCACCAACAACACTGAAGACGCTACCGGAATAAAAACCCTAAAGTACATTCTGGAGTTGCAGACGAAGTTTCAAGATTTTAACCGATTGCAGACTGAATTTGAAAAAGGAAAACTTGACTTGGTTAGTATGAAGAAAAATTTTATTGATACTGACCACGAAATTGAAGCTCTTCGAAACCAAGTCAGTTTTCTCGAATCTGAGAAGCGAATATCTACAAAGCAGTATGATCTGCTACATTCTGAATATGTTACCCTTGCTAACCTGCTAAACCACTTAAAGGCATCAAACGAAAATAAAGTTAACCATCTTCAAAGTATTAATGGCCAGCTTCAAGCTCAAGTGCAAAAGTTAACCCAGACTGTTGAACAACTAAAATGTGATCATAATAAGTTTGTTGAAAGCAAAGCAAAAGAGCGACAAGAACTTGAAGCTAAATTACTTGTTTGCGAAAAAGATCTGGAATCTGCCAACAAAAAAGTTATTTCTCAAAAGGGGTTCTTATCTCAAATGGAAACATCTCTCGACTCGTTTAGAAAGCAAAATAAAAATCTCAATGAGATCAACTCTAAATTGACTGGCAATATTAACGGCCAACTTTCAAGCCGAGAAAATGAAATTTGTCAACTTACTCAAAAGTTACAAGCGGAAGAAGAGCGAAATAAGAAATTGGAAGCTGAAATTCGAGACATTAATTCAAAGGTATGTGCGAAATAACTTGTTAATCTGTTTATTAATTTTTTGTATTATAGTATGCATCCCAAAGTGGTCAAATAGAGTCGCTTCAACAAGAGCTGGCCAACTTTAAAAATTCTTCAACGCAACGTCATCAAATAGAAATTAATAATTTAAAGTCTTCTTTGGCCAAATCAAACGAGTTGAAGGTGAATCAGGGCAAGGAAATTTTGACTTTAAAAAGTGAAATTGCTCGTGTTCAAAGTACTAATCAACAGCTGAAGGCTCTTGCTCGCAAATACAAAACTCAATATGAGGAGCAGAAACAAGTTACAAATACATTGTCAATAAGCGGTGATGATCAAAAAGAAAATTCTACAGAGCTTACAAATCAAATTATTGCCAAGGACGAGAGAATAAGTGCACTTGAAGAAAAACTTGCCTCAACCTTGTCTGAACTTGGAGCAGCAAAACAGGAAGTTATAAATGCAAGTTCAGCTAATGCAGAGCTTCAGTCGCAGTACAATGAAACCGATCAGCGGGCAAAGAAAATTGCATCTTCAGCTCAACAACGTATCATTGAACTTAAGCGAATTCTTGCTGAGAAAAATAGTGAAATTGCAGCACTGCGAACCGAGCGTCAAACAGACGACATGTACCTGATTAATCAGCCCTCTACCTCCAAAGCATCATTCACTTTACTGTCAAGTTCGAGCAAAATGCCCATTAGTTCAACCTCTATCTCATCTCGATCGAGCACAGTCCCCTCGTCGTCTTTTGAATCGGCCATTTCTTCAAACATTAACCAACCATCTTCTTCAAACGAGGAAAATTTTAATTTAGATTCGCTTCAGTCAACACAGATCACTTCGCACTCAACTTCAGACGATAACAGCTCAGAATTGTTCTCTTCAATTGTTGCTGATAGTAATGTTAGCTCCAATAAGCGAGGCTACAGCTCTGACAGTGATCCTGGTCATTTGGGTAGAAAGAACAGGCGAAATGAAACAGATGAGGTCACCACATATGAAGATGAGAGCAGCAATCAATCAGCTATAGTGAACATTGAGGAGGATTCAAATGATGATTCAGCTGCTGTTCCTACTGACGCCGCTTCTGCTGCTGTTGCTGCTGTATCGGCACCAGGCTCTTCATCTGCCAACTACACTTCATCAAATGGAGAAAGTGTGGAGTCTGCCGATAACGATACGCAGATGGACAGTCAGATGGAGGAGCCTAATGCCATTGACCAGATGAATTCACCAGATGATCAGCCAGACGAGCAAGAGCAACAACAAGAGCAACAGTCCTTTGCTCAGGAGCAACAGCAACAGCAATCTCCAAATTCAGCATCTTCATGTAATTAATTATATTTTTATTCATAAAATAGTCACTTTGCATGCGTTGCTTGCTTTGCTCGCGGACTAATAACAACATTTTATGTTTTGTTTTGTAGCCCAATTGTTTTCTCGTCCCAGTTCAATTGATCATGGTCACCTGCTCACCTCTTCCACGTCTTCATCGTCTGTCGATTCAGCACTTGGACAACCTGGCACGTCAACAATGTTTACACAGAGTTCCATCGTTTCCAATGACATTGCTTTTCACTCAATGTCCGGTCACCTTTTTTCAGGTCAGCCGATTACATCAAATCTTCCTGAACATGAACAAAATCAGCAGCCGGAGGCGAGTTTCGGATACCACGGTGCTCCACGACTGATCATTCCTCCCAATTCCAGTAGCAACCTCTTATCACCACAAAACTCTTTAATGATGCCAATGGCATCCTTTCTTCACGAGGAGAGTGAAGGAATCGTTCCCAGTACCCCGATTATGTACGCACCTCGTACCCCCTTTGAAGAGCACAGTCACCCGCACCAGCACCCTCATCACCACTACCACCACCACCAAATGACTTCACCGCAAGTCCAGCAACCACTGTTTCTCTTTAATAACAGCACTGCAGCCAGTTCTTCAAACTCGCAAGCCGCCGTCTCTGTTACACCTAGCATCTCAGAGACGGTCTCGTCGGTCATCTCAATTGATGAAGCTGTGGGAGATTACGAATCACCGAATCAATCCCCTCGGGCAAATGTATCCGCTCAAGAGGAGGAGGAAGAGGAAGAGGAGCAGATCTCATTGCCCACCTCATCCGACTCGACAGCTGGCACCTCCAGTCAGCCACAGTCTGTCAGTAGTGGCACTGCGTCTCGTGTACGAAAGCTTCGCATTCGTGGATTGCGAGGGGGTCGTAATCAGTGAAATTCCCTCAAGTTGAAGCTTCAACTTCATTGACTGAAATCACACTCACTTGTTTATTTTGTAACATGCCATTTTTTCCTGAGCAAAAGTAAAAGGTATTCATTATTTACACTGAGACTTAATCAAACCGGGAAATAGCTTTCAGGCTTCGATCGACACCGTTATCTTCACAAGGTGATTAGCCAGTGTTATCGCTGCTACCAGCTCGACAAACGAGCAGCCTTTACTAGCAGAAGCACCTCGAGTCAATGTACATTGAAGGGCTGCAAACATTGGCAACACGGTCACTTGACGCACACCAGCTCAAAGATGGTGTGACTAATTGCCGTTGAGTTACTTTCAAAGATCCAGCATTTTTCTATTATTTTGCGCACGTCTCTCTCTACTTGACAGAGAGATCTGATGATCTGTTGATTGGCCGACTCTGCAGTGATTGTGTCACGCAAAAGTGATATATTTTACGCTGTGTTCACCACTTTTCATTGGCCATTTAATGCAGTTATTTGCAAAAATTTGAATGCATTTTGTCACTTTTAATCAAATGCACTTCTAATCTTCCTACCTCTTCATTGCCAGAGTTGCGGCGTACATCATTGTATGGGATGGCGCAATGCTCGAAATTACTTTTCTTCTCTTCTAATTACCGCAATTATGTTCTTCTTTTGAGCCTATTGGAGCACACGTGAATGATGTCGATAGCACTTCATCAGTGTTTGACATCGAATTTAGACCAAGTCCCATCTTCATCAAGATTCAAATATCTAGCAGAGCAGAAGGAAAACTACGAGCACTGTGCGATACCGTTTGAGCCACTTTGCTACAAATCAAACTATGACAACTTGTCAAAAATAGTCAGCATAACAGGCATGACATTGCTCACTTTACCTCCAACTGCCTTCACACCCACTGCACTGATTGGCCGACAATTATCACTAAACTTGTTGATAACCAGGAATGTTACCAGTAGCCTTCACCGACTTTAAAATATTTTTTTGAGCAATCTTAAAATATGAAAAAGTACAATTTTTATGTGAATGCTGCCGTTGGTAACTAATGAAACGTAAGCCTAATCAAATTATCTTTGATTGTAGTTTTCAATTTAATGTTATTAGACAAGTGGAAGGAAGCTGCTTTTCTGAAGATCAAATGTAGGTGGTAGTCAGTTTATGACTTTTAAGTTGATCCCCTCGACAGGCAGCAACAGCAGCACTGCTGCAGTGGAGGGGGCCAGCATCCGTAGCACAAGTGGCACTGGTTATCGATACTCGGCATTGTGTGGACTTCGAATGTAGTAAGCGAAATGTAGTATGCATGCCTTCTGAAGCTCAATCAGTAAGCAGAAGCAGCAGCAGCACTTTCTCAACACGATTGTCTTGGTGATACAGGATAGGTTCGAAGAAAATTTTGCAGTGCCCATATCTTGGTGGAGTGTAATTTGAAGCGTTTGTCAGCCAATCAGTGATTAGCACAACGACCAAGTAATCATTGCCTGGTACAAATTACAGTAGCATCCAGTGGCAGAGGATATCGCCAATCGTAACGAGTTCAACTGCTCGGTTTGACAGTGCGCAGTATCGGGTCGCAAGGAACCCTGAAGGAGAGCACGCCAGTGGCCACCACTTATCCCCGCTTAATAGTTGTTCACCCTCTTCCTCCTTAAAACGGCAATCCATTGAGGTTTTACAACAAGTGAACACCAGGCTAATGCTGCCGAGAAATTGCACAATTTGCTTAGCCAGCTGTATTGTCGTCGATTGGACCCCAGTCGCGCAGTTCAAGTGCGCCCTTTTGGCTTCTACCACTTGAAGAAGTTATCTACCATCAGCAGTAACAGCATTGATTGAGTGATTGGAAACAACAAAAAAGTATCCATCACAAGTGGCATCATCAGCAACTAACTGCCTGGAGATCGAGTCGGTGGCGGCTGGCTGCCCAAACGAATCAAGGGAAGCCAATCTTCAGCCACCGGCTTAGAAGCACCGACCTCTTACAACTGTTGCCCACTGGCCCGTTCTTTGTCAGCTGACGCTGTGCCAAGAGATTTACCGCTACCGTTACTGCTCAAATCAGCGCAACGTCTACTGCGAGGTCAGAGTTCGGCCAAGTGCCTGTCTGCAGCCTCTCTGCAGGCAGCCCCTCCTCAGTGCACACCCCAGACATCAGTCATCTTCTGCGAAACACCGCACAGACACTTATCAGTGTTTGCTTTAACAATGGTTCAGCGAAGCTCTAGGTGTGTATTTGATCACTGGCTAATTACCACTCGATTAGCTGCGACAATCGAACGGCTGCAGTGAGGAGCCACCGTTGCCACTGTGCCCACATAGACTTTGACCACTGCCTTCTATTTATAACAGTGGTAATCTTGTTTTTCCCATTTTTTGCCTAAACCACCAGCTGAACAGCATTCACCGGCTACTATCAACTGTATCACGAAGAGAGGACAACACCACCGCCACCACCGCTCTTCTCTTCTGTCCTGCAGTGTGCACCTGCTGAGTCTGGTGCACTACCCACTCGCAGTGCACTCCTCTGATTCGCCCGTGCCGCCACCATCTGACGATCGGGTTCCCATCACCACCACCAGCACCACCCCTCACCAGCGTCATGTTCTCCGTCATCTTGAGCAGTAGAACGGGTGATGTTTTCTTCACCAAACGACTGCTCCTCTGTCTCTGCATGTTTGTGCTT